AGAGTTTGAGGGAGATTTCGGAGAGATTTCACATACGGAGAGAGATTTGGGAGAGATTTGACATGCTTGGAGAGATTTCACGTACGGAGAGAGATTTAGGAGAGATTCCACAATCTTGGAGAGATTTGGGAGAGATTTGACATACTTGGAGAGATTTCACATACGGAGAGAGATTTGGGAGAGATTTGACATGCTTGGAGAGATTTCACGTACGAAGAGAGATTTGACATGCTTGGAGAGATTTCGCATACAGAGAGTGATTTAGGAGAGGTTTCACATACTTAGAGAGATTTGGGAGAGGTTTCACATACTTAGAGAGATTTGGGAAAGGTTTCACATGCTTAGAGAGATTTGGGAGAGGTTTCAGATAGAGAGAGATAGAGCTTGGGAGATTTAGAGAGACTTCGATTGTGACCTTTTTGAGTGTCCGGCTTCACAATGCAAGGTTCGTAAACCTCGTTAAGCTTTATTATGATTGTTATATGCCTTCGAGGGTCAAGGAATAACGTTTTATCGAGTAGATTCATCACTTACCCCGATTAGGGTATACAATTTCTAGACATGTGAAAACTCTAAGTGATACTTTGTATTAAGATTGCGAGCTGCTCAATAAGAAACATAATGGAAACCCTAATATACAAGGGTTAGATGAGTTGACCGGTTTGACTTGTGGACTTTATTTGACTTTGACTTGACCAGAAATTGACGGTTGTCACAATTGCTCAATCTTCAATCATCAATTCTACTTCAACTCGATTGGTGATGGAAATACCAGATGATGGGAGAACTTCAAGAATTTACACCAATCGTTCCATCATCCTGCCAATCGAAGGTGTACTTCATACGTATTGTACTCCTCTAAACGTACTATTATAAGACATATTCTAAAGGCAAGATACCACTCTCACGATAGCTTTCAATAGGTGTCGTTCACTATCATAAGCCTTTTCATTTCCTCCATTTACTCAATTCTCTACGAGTCTTCACCATGACCTTTTGTACACCCAAGCAGACGTTCGGTGTACTAGGCGAGAATTTAAGATAGGAAAGCTTCATTTACGATAAATGTATAAATCTCCTTGTCACTCCAAAACGTTTACATGCTTGCTCTAATATCGTAGTCATATGCTTAGAATCCTACAAACATAAGGTTTCCAGATCCGGTCGGCAACTGACCATAGATCCGAACAAATAATAACATTGATATAACTATCACACAAAACATTTAGCACATATAAGCATTTTAGGCATCATTTCTAAAATAAACTAGTGCTTGTGTCAATTTAGGTGTACTACCTAACATATTTTAGACACACTCCTCACGATCATTACTTAGCATTCTAAGTTTAAGTCTAAAAATTTCCTACAAATTCTTAGTTCGCTTAAACTAATGCTATGATACCAATTGTGACATCCCTAATTTCAAGGCCATAAAAGACTGATTTGTTTATGCTTTGTTTTTAAAATCAGAGAAATCTTTTAAAGAAAACAGTTGCAGAATTTATTCCCAAAATAAAATATGATAAGAATTTATCAAAGTGTTTCTTTACAGAAATGTATTTTCATTATATAACAAAATCTAGGGATGTCATGTTCAATACAGACCAAAAGCATAAACATAACAAAATAGACCTTACAACAGTTATTCATAACTACTGACCTATAATCCAAAATCTGTCGTTATATCAGCCAACTTATGATCTCGTGCCATAACCTGTAATACAAAGAAAATTGAGAGGGTTAGGCTTGGGAGCCTGGTGAGCATATAAGGTTTTCAACCCACAATAATATAATTATTGTATTTAATTATCAAACAATCAATCCAATTACCCACCCCATTATCTTCATTTATTTCATAAAGATTCACCCTAACAGCCGATTACCCTTCTCCCATTCATTCCTAAGGATTGCCCTAAGGAATTGGCACAAAGTTTAGTGCTGCCAAGGTTCTTAGATTACCTCTGGTGAACACGCAGTTCACAATAATTAATGAACACCTAGTTCAAGAACACCCAGTGAACACACTCCGTTCAATAATACCTAATGAACACATAGTTTAAAAACACCTAATGAACACCTAGTTCAAATATCCCTGGTAAATACATAGTTCAAAACATCTAGTGAACCCTTAGTTCAAATATCTAATGAACACTTAGTTCAAAAACACCTAGTGAACACTAAGTTCAAATATCCCTGGTGAACCCAATCACCTAAGGAACACAGAGTACGAAAGCTCTTAGTTCAAACAATGTGATAATAATGTATATCTCAATCCTGCAAAACCACTAATATTATTAACACATATAAATCATATTTCTAAAGCAATCTATCCCATCCCGTCGATCCCCACATATTGACCCCATACAATGATTCTTACAAGATCTAGCCTAAGGAATCGATATGAACAAAAAAACGACGAGGCTGCTTTGGAAATTCCGTTGAAAAAAACATGGATCAATAAAGACATCAAATGAGGGGAATGGAATAAGTTTCACCACGAACCTTCGTTCGTAAAAGAAAGAACCACAAGACAATCAAGTCAGGGGTAGTTATCTAGATAACAGTGCCTATGCGTGGTCTGAATATCGTGAGGTATTATACCCTTAGACTCTCTCTATCCAACATCAAACTTTTCCTAGCAGTGGTCTGAATATCATGAGGTATTTCACCCCCATACGCACCCTATCCGACAATATAAACCAGACATACCTAGTAGTGCTCTATTACCGATACCCTTTATTAGGCAGCCTACGAAATTCCCTTAATTACTTCGTGAAAGAAAACGCTGACATATGAAGCTCGTTCGATCACTTCATAAAAGAAACGTTGACTCTAAAGCTCTCTCAAATAAAAAGTATGAGGAAATACTAATAGAGTACTCACGTACGCTCCCGTAACCGACACACAATATTGTCAAAAGACTTAGTACATGATAGTACTTCTGGTACATTATAGTACTCTGGTATGCGAAGGAATCGTACGCGAGAACAAAATAATACCTTGGCACAAGAAGCACCCAAGACACAGAGCTTTGAAAAGGACTTCGTACATAAAATGTACTTCTGTACGTTGAACGTACTCCACTGATCATCAATCTCACCCCACAAGTACTCTTAATAAGAGACTACCCAAAGTCCAAACTTAATTGAACTAAACATTCCATTTTAAGTCTTAACCCATCACTAGGCAAACCTACAATACTTATAATCAATTTCCAATACTTAACACAAAGTCTTAAGTAATAATATCATATATACACATCTTAACACATATTGGACCATAACTGGTTCGCACGTTGTATATCATCAATTATATATATATATATATATATATATATATATATATATATATATATATATATATATATATATATAACACATGTTTTGAGCAATAGCAAATATTTCATACACACACACATATACATATATATATATATATATATATATATATATATATATATATATATATATATTTCATACTTTAATCAATACTCATATTAAAATCACGTTCATAAAAGGGACTATGCATATGATACCTTATCGGATAAAAACATAGTTCGAAAATACATAAGCCATACTCCCGAATCTAAAATTTACCTCGTTACCTAATCCATATTCCCGGATCTAAAACTCGTATTATGCTGGGCATAACCTCGGAGTACGCTGGGCGTACTCGTTACGCGGGGTGTACTTCTAGGTACGCTGGGCGTACGCTTCGGATCAGGCCGGACGAGTCACACTTCGGATATTATCCGAATTTATAATAAAATAAATATATTTTAATTATTTAAAATTTTCAGAAATTCATATCTTCCTCATACAAGCTCCGTTTTCGACGTTCTTTATATCCACGCTTAGGTGAGACTAAGCTGTACAACTTTCATTTAGACTTCGTTGGCTAATTTGACTTTTATTTTTATTATATTATTTTTAGTAGGCCGGGGCAGGAAAACTCCATTATAAATTCATAACTTCTTCATCCGACACCCATTTTCGTTTATCTTTTTATCGTTGCACTACTAATAACGTGATCTTAGGTTCTTGTTTCGATTGCTTCGGCCAAAAATCACTCGATCTCAAATTCGAGTTTTGGGCTGCATAATGCTAAGCTGAAACTTAGAAAAATCATAACCTCCTCATACGAAGACAGATTTCGACGTTCTTTTTATGTACGCTCTCGGTTTAACGAACTCTACGACTTTTGTTTAGATCACTAAGGCTAAATATCGCTATAACGTAAATTCACTTTTTACGTCATTCAGCGTTGTGCTGGTTCTGTCGCGAAACTTCGATAGGTCATAACTTCTTCGTTATAACTCGGATTTCGGCATTCTTTATATATTCGGAATCCTTGTCACGATCACTACAATTTAGTTAAGATTATTCATTCTAAATAATCATCTTTAAAAATGTAACATTCCGTTTATAATAAGATAATTAAATAATAAACCCGGGCCCCGAGAAGTAATATTTATTATTATTTAATATTATTATAGTCCGAAATCAAATAATAATTAGTGGGGTGTTGGTTTCGAGGTGCCAAATGATATACTTCTGATTTCCGAGGGTTAAAGTGTAATTTCAAGATTTATTTGAAAAGGATTTTAAAAGTTAGGGTGTGTTTGGTAAATATGGTACCAGAATTGTAATGAATTATGAAAGATGGGGTTTATTTGGTAAATATTGGATCAAAGTTGAAAGGATTTTGAAAATGGAGGGTTGTTAGATAAATTTCGGACTTCATCTGAAAGGAAATTTAGAAGGCAGGAAATAAAACGTAAATAATGGACTTTGTTTGTAGATATTGAGAATAGGAGGGACCAGTTCTATCATTTTCTCTACATTGTTGCATGAACCGGGTATTTAACTATTGATTGCTTGTCAACGACCCTGACCCTAGACACAAAATCGGACGCGTCCCTTATACCTCCAACCTCCCTCCAGCCGTCACCACCCCTCTTCTATCTCTTAACCCCGACGCCATCATGTCGCTTGTTCTGATCAAGCAAGACCATCGATGAAATCCTCTATAACCAGAGGAAATGAAGACCACAAGGGGCTAACGGACGATCCTCCTGCAGTCCGGTCCTTACCACCAGCTGTTGTTGTGCCGTCGCTGTTGATGACGGAGCTACCGATGAGGTCAGTGAACCGTCGTCTCTTCGTTGGTGCTGTTGCTGTACTTAGTGGGTTCGAACCACCTTCTTCCCTCTTCATTTCCATCCCGATGGCTGCCTCACTACTACCGTTTGGAGGCTGACGCCCTCTGGCCACCACATGCCGCCATGGAATGGTGGTTGAGTTCATGGAATCGCGAAGCTATCGTCGCTTTTGTCCGTTTCTTGTGCTGTCGCCTTCGCCACCCACCTCATTAGGTGGCTATGTTTGTATGTGTATTTTTATAAGTTTTTTGTGCATGTGTTTCAGCGTGTCTCGCAAGCTTGGGTGTCCCGGTTTGCTGCTGCCGAAGAGAAGTCAAGGAAAAACCACCATGGCCGCCGGCCATGGTGGCTGCCGCCTCAAGACCGCCATGGAGGGTGTGTATGTTGCTGTGTGTGTTTATTAGTGTTGTGTATGTGTATTTGAAAATGGCATTGTAATGTGTAATCCATCGGAATAGTAAAGAAAACCCTAACCACCACCATCATGTGGTGGCTGCCGCTTCCAGCCGCCACCAGCCACCGTGTCGAGTGGCAGTGTGCTTTGCATTGTGGTATTGATTCGTCGGGATGCTTGGAACCCTAATGGGCCTAATGAAACTCAAGTGGGCTTAATGGGGCCTAATAAATCCCTAATTGACCTAATAAAATCTTAATGGGCCCAATAAGGCCCAAAGTGACCTAAAAGCCCAATCGGTTGACTAATAGGCTAGTATTGGGTAGGAAACCCTAATTTGGGTTTGGAAATCCTAAAGGCTCAAAACCTTAATTTTGAGAATTAATCGGGGCACACACGAGATTATTTAATGACTTGAAATATTAAATAATAATCATTGGCAAACTAACTTAAGGAAATAATGGACTTAATGGATTAAGTCCTTAATGGGTTAAGTAGAAACACTTAACCCTAACTGTCATTTTATGTTGGGCCTTAAGTTGTGCTTTTCCCATTGGGCCTTGGTGGATGGATTACTAATGGGCCATCCAAGAATAATCATATGGATTAGAATATGCTGTTGGGCTTTAGGGTAACACCCATATGAGAGTTGGGCCTAATTTGGAAAATTGGGCCATAGATGGGCCACAGTTTGGGCGTTAGTGATTACATAATGTTGGGACTTAGAACAAGACCATGTATAGGCTTGGGCCCTTATGGATTGTATATGGTTATGGCATGATATGTTTATTGATTACATCCTGGGTAGTTGATCTTCTAATCAAATTTGCTTTACTAGTACACCAAATCATTTCTGGTTTAGCAGCACCAAACAAATAAATAAGATAATTAAGGGTCTTGTCATAGTCTGTTCCATAGGAGTCCCAAAGGAATTCACTATGTGACTTAGAAAGTGATTGAACATCCAACTTCCTCAAGAATTTGACACACAACTCTCCCGTCTTGTCAATATGTGACTTCATATTAAGGATGTGATCACATATAGACCTTCCTTGCCAATAGGGCTTGAGTGACCTTAAACTTTTCAAGAACTTGTGGGTTATGGATAATAATTGGAGGAGGTGAAAGAAGTATGATTTCCATGGGACATCATCTTCATTTAGGAAAGCTTGTTTCAAGAGATTTGGGAAGATCATAAATGTCTGAACTAGACATATTTTGGGAGATATTCAAGATAGTTGATTTAAGTCCTTAATATAGCACCCAATATGAAATATTAAGGCTAGGACCTAACAATATATTTTATAACTTGAAAGAGGGATGCCGTAATCCAAGCTATAAAATATTTGAAGGTAGGTGAATGACGATTCACCAATTTCCACCATGAAAAACGACATAATTTATTAAGTTTTTACTTGGATTTGAAACTCCTAGATCTTTAGAGATTCATTGAACTTTTCAAAGGCATGTTTCAATCTCGAGTGTGCCCTTCAGGTTTGTGACTGGGATGCCGAGGATCAGAAGACAAGGTGTGAAGTAACCATGCAAATTACTTGGTACACTTAAATTATTACCCCTTAATCGATGTGTTGGTTAAACACACACGCTCCACCGATACTATGATAAGCAATAAGTTACCCTTTGCCTACCTTGTTAAATCCAAGTTAGTGTGCCGGTTACCCACACACGCTCCACCAACGACTTAAACAAAGTGCAAAGTGTAATTTCATGGATTAGCACCTTATTCACATTTTCCTAAGTAACTAAGATTGAGAATTAATAAAATGTTTAGTTACTTAGTATTTATCGTTAATACTTTTAATGAAGGGAGAATTATAGTCCTTGTCCTTACCTGTTCGGCTAACGACCCTCCACCAGTCAAGGAAGCGGTGGGTGAGAGTGGACACCCATTAAACTGCCATTTTATAGGCAGTAACCTTATACCCCCTTATAGACCGGCTTCGTGAATGAGGCCTACTAATGGTAAGACTGACTTGCTCTTATACATATATATAAATATTATTAACTTATAATATTATAAAGTATAAGGGTTGAATTTTAACTTTAAAAATTTTAAGGGCTTAACTTGGAATTAAAGTATTCACGAGGGAAACTTTACAAATTCCAAAACTTGATGGCAAGTTTTTTAAAATATTCAAAACTAATTAATTCCATAACTTATGTGTTTAAAGTAGTTTTAATTAAAAAACTCCTCAAGTTCCATAACTTGAGGACGAGTTATGGAAGACTTTAAACAAATAAAAGAATGTAACTTTTCTTTATTTGTAACTTAAGGAACTAATTAAGGTGACACATTTTTATTATTTAATGAAAAGACTCTTGAACCACCATAACTTGAGGTCAAGTTATGGAGTCATAAAACCACTTAATGAGAAAAAGATTCTTCATTTCGTAACCTTTGCCAACTTTATGAGTTTTAAGAAACTTAAATGTGACTTTTCATGTAACTTGAGGACAAGTTACACAAACACATTTTAGAATCTACTCTTAGATTAAAATGGATTGAAAAAAACAATTTCACACAACTTCCCTATTAATCTAAGCAACTCATATTAACATGATATTTCAAGACAAACACATTTTCATGAAATTAGCCTAACCATTAAACTAATACAAATCATGAATCTATTGACAAATATCTTTGAAATTGGATTAGCATAAACATTACCACATCAAAAACAAGTTTATATGTCCAAAAACATCTTAGGGTAATGTTCCTAGTCCAATTCCAGCCAAAAAAGTCAAAGAAATGCCGTATGGGGGTCCAAATCATCGAGTGTATGAACCAACTCGGCGAGTTGGATCATTTTGCTCACTTTTTAGGCATGGAATCGTTGAGTCTCCTGAAGGACTCACCGAGTCTGTTGCCCAGACAGAAAAAACTTTAATTTTCAGCCAACTTTTGCAAGTATAACAAGAAAACAAGTCTAGGCTCTGATACCACTGTTGGGTTTTGAGAATTCTAACACTCCTAAGTGTACATGCAACCCTAAATACCTTGGATCTATGTTTTCTCTATTATACATGCAATTATGAACTTTCCAAGGTATTCATCCTAACTAGCATAATAACATTGATTCATATGAATATAACAAGATATAATTGCATACCTTTTTAGTGTAGATTGTCTTCATGAAGCTTGAGTGCCTAGTGCCCCAAGTGTGACACCTTAAATGGTTCCCACAACACCAAATACACTTGGAAAGACTTAGCGAGAAAACTTGAACACTTCTAAATCGGCTTGCCCTCATCCACACACACTAGTAGCCGATTTTCCCAATGATATGATCTTTATATAGTGTCACAATTAGGGTAAACCCTAATTGTCATGGCTTTCCATTTCCTTGGATCCATGGGTTCAAATACACCATGGAGCATCCATGGAGCATCCTATGGGTTTTAGCCCAACTTGATAATCCATGGAGCATTAGCCCACTATACAAGTATGGATGATTTACACAATCAACCCATATATTTAATTAGTCTTCTTTTGATCACTTAATTAATTCCAAATTAATTCTTGATCAATATTGATTAAATAATCCTATTAATATATTAGAACTTATAATATATTAATAATCCTTAAGTGTTATTTCTCTCATTTTAGTCTATCCAAGTGCATGATGCCATGCAACCCAAATGGACCATGCTGGGTCGGCTCAAGTCTTACCAATTATAGTTGTGGACTTAGACACTAATCCAACAGTATCCCACTTGGATAAGTCTGAAACTATTATTGCGTATGACTTCAAGAACCGACTGGCAATCGTAGCTCTCAAAAGCTTCTGTCGAACTCTGACCTTGCCGATGATCTATGACCTTTGTCAATGACTTGTCCATTAGATAAGGGATCATATATTCCTCCATTCTAGATATCATATGAACTGAGACATGGATTATAATCATTCTCTCTGTCCATTTGTTGTTTCCCGATTTCCGATTTATGACGACTGACTGATTGAACAAATCAAATCAGTCCTGGCTTGGCCAAGCACTCACATGTGTCATGACTAAATCATCGAGGGCCCCACAGATATCTCTTTTATCCCGAAGGTAAAAGGAATGGATAAACTTCGACTCATATGGCTGGTTCTACTACTTGTTGAATCATACACAAAGGCACATTTTATAACATCGAGTTACCATTGTGTTTTTGTGCAATCAATGTACAACCAACGCATATGTCTAGGTTTGAAGAATATAGTATATTATCGTCTCATGATCACTCGTGATAAAATCCATGAAGTGATTCAAATGAGCGTGGGTTGAATCCAATACTCATAACTTATGAGCACTAATTAATGTTGTAGCACCTCTTGGCTATGCCCCATACCTTGGACATCTACAAACCTGATTCATGATAGTCTTGATTCATATCTACTTCCAACATATGACCGAATGTGGATAGTTTGAATAGCTTAGTCATTCGAGAAGAACGACCTAGTTATTCTGGAAGTCAAAACATGCAAAGTGAAACACAAGAGTAATCGAATCCATTATGGTTTCAGAACTTATGAATATATATAAAACCCCTTTTATTTATGACCATATGATTACATATTATTCATTGTATACTGTTTCAACTACCAACTCTATACTTTGAATTTAAACAATAGTTGTCCCATGCTCCAAGCATGTACACTGTATTTTCTAAACACTAGTCATGCCATACACCAAGTATGCATACTATGTTTTATATGATCTTTACTTTGTGAAATAAATCAATTGAA